GTGTGTGTGTGTGTGTGTGTGTGTGTGTGTAGGCCACTCCGTTCTTTATTGGACTGATTGTGCTCGAGATGGTGGTGGGCTTTCTGAGGACAGGAGCCCCTGTGATCACCATCAGTGATGGCCTGACCTCTGTTGCATCTGGGATGATCAACAGACTTCCACTGTGAGTGCTCAGGCAGGCTGTTGACCACCTTTACTATATGATAAATATTAATATGAAGGATTTACAGTAGAGTGATTTGGTTGCATTTTACCATGACTGTTGTCTGTTTTGTCATATGACTGAATAATTTGGCTACAGCCAAAGTAGAGTGCTCCCATCTTAAAACAACTTTAATCTAGAAAAGGTCACTGTTATTCAAACTTTTACCCTCTTGTTCTTCTTGGAATATATGTTTTCACCAAACATATTAAAAAGATTTAATGAATGTGAAGTGCAACATCTTGCCTTTGATGTTGCTATTTGTGCTTGTAAATAACCACAGAATTAATGTGAATAATTCTGCAATGCAAAAGTAGCTTTTGCATGGCATACAACATTTTCGAGACTAGTGTTAATTTAAGATGCTAACAGCTGACTTTGTTGTTTTTGCATTATTTGAAATTAAATGCATTGATTTGAAAATGTGTTTCACTAAACTGAAACTGAAATAAATGGTTTTAATCAGGTGAAAGAACTGTCAGTTTAATCCCTAGACGGCTTAACTAGTTTTTTTTCTCCCGTTTATTTTTACAATGACGAACACCTGCAGTGGAAATCTTTAATCTAGGTCTAGGCGGGATCTGGTTGTCCAAAACAAAAATATGTTGTCTCGTGCAACATAAACAGTGGTTGTGTCAAGCCCTGCTTTACTTGATAAAAATAAAATAAAATAAAATAAAATAAAAAACTTAATTCTGAAGGTGTGGCGGCTTTTACCCTGCAGGGTGTGGGACACACAAAAAAAATTAATTTTGTAATTAAAACTTAAAGAACTGAAAATAAAAGTAGTCCAGCTGAATTTCAATACAACAAAATAGTTTCAAAGCAAATTCATTCAGATTCAAACCATTATATTGAGTTTCAGTTTGGTGAAATTAATTTTTAAACCAATGCATTTCATCATCCTCGTTAACGGTTAGCTCGTCTCTCATGTCAGAATTAAACCGTTCCCCAAATCTGAGAATCTATTTGCAAAGTATAAAACCTTAGTCATATTATTATTTAAATTCACTTCATAAATGTGGCTGAACATTTTCTTCAGCGTGATGTGAGTCACATTTCAGGAAACAAAAACATCCTGTTGTCATTTTTCAGTGCTAAAAAAGTATTTTTATTTATTTATTTATTTATTTATTTATTTATTTTTAAACAGAACAAATTGGACACTTTTGCAGAAATAATTATGTGATCATGAGAGGTTCAGCCAGAAATTGATTACCTTCAGAAACATGCGTAACTTATTTATCGCTTAAGGAACGTTGACTTAAAACAAGAGTGTGGATTGTAAAATGAGCTAACTCTGTGTTCAGTTTCTGCCTTGTGATTTGAATGGRTGGACATGTTTTCACATGATTAAATTTTGTGATTTTTTAAAAAATTTATTTATTTACTTTTTAGTTGAACTTTTGTAACATTTTTTGCTGACTGAAAAAGTTGCACAGTCTGAGGAAGATTTTTTGTTTACATCAGGGGTGCCCAAACATTTTCCCTGAGAGGGCCAAAATTAAAATCAATCTGAGGGCCGCAGGACAAATGTAATAATATGAGAAATGCAAATACTTAAGTAAAGTAGTTTTATTTTTTATGATTAAGCTAGCAGCCAGTGTGGTTGCCCACATTCTTTAGTTTTTTTTTTTTCAGCCCATGGACATGGAGAAAATTTAACGTATGTTCAGGCAGCAAAGACTCATGGGACTTCTCATAATTTTAAAATTTAAGTATATGTGGTCTTATAAGGTGTGCAAATCTAGATATGGGCTTAAATCTAATCTAAATGTTTCTTGTAGTTACTTGTATTTTATATTAAATCTTAAAATTACAATCTAGTAACTGTTGGTGGGCCAAATCAAATGGCTCGGCGGGCCAATTTTGGCCCGTGGGCTCCACTTTGTGCACCTCTGGTTTACATAATATTAAATCTCCCAGTTTTAAATATAAATTTTAACTTTCACTTTTATTATTGAATCTATTTATTATTAGCATGTTTCTGAAAATTTTACAGCCACCATATCTCTGCCTTTAGTAAACCATTTTATTAGATGTACCTAAACCAGAGTATTTGTAAAGATGGCAGAGGTTAAAATTGATACTGCCACCCTTTAATTCTCCAATTGTTTCACCACCAGAAGTATCAAAACTATTCATTACTCAGAAGTATTAATAGGCTTTAAAAAAAAGCTTCTGTAGAAGCATCAACTCAAACTTTTTACTCAAGCAACAGTGTAAAAGTTCTGGTTTTAAAAAGCTTAGGCCACATAACAGGGATATATATTGCACAACCCACCTCCCCAAAACGCATTTTACTGAAGGCCATGATTATAATGTTATATCAAAATTTAGGATCCTGTTTCAGCTGCATATAAATCTACCATAGTGAACTTCATACTAGGCTACATATGTCTACGTTCTGCTTGAGGTGACGGGATTTGTGTCATCCTGATGCGATGGATAATATAAACTAGAGAGTCACTGATGTAAAAACTTCAGCTGATATGACCTAAAATCATTTTTGATAGAAATAACATTTGCAAATGGATTTTAAGTTAGATAAGACACTAAGGCTGTGTATTGTCAAGAAACTGAGGATACGATACATATCATGACACGGGTTGCGGTACGATCTATCACAATATATTGCGATACTGTAAGTGAAGCGAAATACGGGAATATGTTGCCATTTTTTTTGCCCAAAAATTCTATTAAGGGACTGTTGGCAACCTTACTTCAGCTTAGAAGGCAGCAGGTGTTCTGATCCGCTCAGATTCAGCCATTGGTACGTAGTGCTAATGTTTACTCACAATGCTAATGTTTGAGCTACTGTTTTTCTCTCTGGCTCCTCAGGAGTGGAGGAGCAACATGTCTGTCTGACTGCTGCCAACTGGTGGTCGGAGGCCAAACAAAAACACAAAAATGAACCGTTGGCAAGAAAGTTTACATTTAAAACCTCAATTAAAAACCGATACAGGGCTTAAGAGAATAAATATACTATCGAAAAATGAAATATTGCAATATTTCAGTGCATCAATATTTTCTTATGCCCCTATTAGACACGTGCAGATCAAATGCCTTAATGTGATTAATCAGTCTTTTTAATCTGTTTTTTTTTTTTTGTAGAGAAATGAACTGCAAGCATAAGCTCACTGTGAACTTTGACCCCTCCTCACAGGCTGCTGATGAGAGGCTGTGAACTGTCAGCGTACATGTACGTGTGGGACAACTTCCGCCTGCTGGAGCTGCCCTGGGACTCTGCCTGGACCTGGTGGTTTACCTTCTTAGGAGTGGACTTCTGCTACTACTGGGTCCACCGCTTCGCTCACGGTACCAACAGAAGCATCACACCAACGCCCACAGCTGACAGCAATTAATCATATTTAAGTGTGGTTTTCTCCTTCACGTAGCCTGGGAGCTGTGGTCAGCTTAAATTTAAAGGGAATACTAAGGATTGGAGCAGTCACTAACTTTCCAAGTTGATTAAATTAAAAAAAAAACAACTAAGTGTCCTTTTAGCTTAATTATCCCTCCTACTAAATGTGATCTTTATGCTTCAAATGTGTCTTATCAAAATATGGCAACCAAGCAACTTTGACTCTATGCTTGAAAGATTACTGTGGCGTTTCCAGTGTTTTGTTTGGGTTCTCATTGTGTGACCGTGCCAATACAAGTCTGCAACCCACCAGCATCAAACTGCTGTCTTCTGCTTTCTTGTTGCTTCCACAGAGCACAAACAAAGACTACAAAGTTAGCTGATGATAAATGGCTCTAAAATGTTGATTTAGTTGCTTTCCCTGCAGGGAGGAGTCATGAACATGGCACTCACATCATGTTTTCCTGGACACTGTAGAGGAAGCAATTATTTTTGAGTTACATCCAGCTGCTTCAGAGCTGTGCAGATGTGAGAGGCCTTGGTCTCCAGAGGCCTGTGGTCTTAACTCAGTGCTGCCACAGCAACAGGCTGCACACAGTGATGTCTCTGAATCTGCGACGTCCAGCATTACACAGTGAAAAACAGAATATATGGACCGGATATGCTGTTTTTAGAGTAGTGGTTCCACTTTTTTTTAAAGAAGGACATGCCTAATGTGTGCTGGTGACACACGTGCAAGATGTGCAGCCTGCCATTCAGCACACTAAATGAGAAGCATGAATTTGTGGGCAACAGGCTTGTTTATTTGTGTCAGCGTCACATCAAGCTGCCCACCGCTGTCCGGTCCTCTTTGGTTTGGAATAAAGTCTGCTGCTGATGTGTTGATGCTAGCGGTCGGCTAAACCGAAGCGCTTAAATTGTGCTCCGCAGCCACCAAAAACTGGCCGACATGTCTTTGAGGTGAGTGAGAGGATCTGTTTTGGATGCTTGTGGTCAAATTTTTATTTATACTTTGACCTCTTACTGCACGTAGAGATGATTTCAGCGTCCAGTCACCATGACACACAGCATGTTTGGCATTAATGTTGTCATGGGGATGTCTGTGTGTGTGTGTGTGTGTGTGTGTCGATTTCAGCTGAGCCGTGATTATTTTGAACCCTACCCATTAAACTATCAAATAACTCCAAAACCACAAGTTCCTCCAGCAGGACACACGATCTAATAGGGCCGTATTTATTACATACTTTTGAGGACTCTGTTCAAGTCTTAAAACAGTAATGAGCAAGATTGTGTAAAACAGTATAGTTTCAGTAATAAAACAAATTCAAGTACAAATTATTGGTTTAAAACACACGTCCAAGCTGTTTGTGTAAAGTAGACTAACATTAAAGGGGTCTTATCCTGCAAAATCTACTTTTTGAAGCTGCGAAATACATTTTGTTGTGTACCTAGTTCTTAGGAGTTCAGAAAAGTTTATTTTAGTCTCTCTCAGTGCTGCGTAGATATTTTTATATTCAAGTTTTCTTTGTTTTCTGTGACTTTTTCTGAACTATTACATCAAATTATTTGTGACAGAACTGAATGAAATTTTGTGACTGATTAACTGAATTTAAGATCTAGTCTTGTATTTCACACTTTATGCAGCCATGTCGTGTAAATAGAGGAATAGTCAGTGTGTCTTATCAATACACTGCAAAAACTGTCCATTTTACCAAGTTTTAAAATCTTATTTCCAGCCAAAAAGTGTTTTTGATCTTGTTTTGGTACTGATTTACTAAACAAGAACTGATTGTGTAAGAATAATCATCTTGTTTTCAGAAAGTGTAAGATTATTTGTCTTGTTAGTCTGAAAATTTGACTCAAATGAAGTCAAAAGTTTCTGCCAATGGAGTAAGAAAATTTTACTTGGTAAGATTCTTAAAATACTTGATTTGACTCATTTTTTCTTGTTTCAAGAATCTTACCAAGTAACATTTTCTTAATTTGAGTCAAATTTTCAGGCTAACAAGACAAATAATCTTACACTTTATGAAAACAAGATTATTATTCTTACACAATCAGTTCTTTGTTTAGTAAATCAGTCTCAAAACAAGATCAAAAAACTTTTTGGTTGGATATAAGATTTTAAAACTTGGTTAGGTGGACAGTTTTTGCAGTGTATGAGGCCATTCGGTCTATTTAAACGAAGTCTGTTACGTTTTAATGTCTGACATAAAAGGTACCGCCTCCAGATGTGTGACCAGGAAGTCAGATGCACACGTTAAGAGGTTGATTGATCATTAATCATTAAGCAGTCTTCTCTCTCTTAGATCACCTGAGGACAGATGCCYTCTGCTAGAGAGGGTTATTAATTTGCTCTCCTTCCACTCTCAGGCTCGCTGCCTGTGGGCCCTATGGAGTCTGTTTTTTAGAAGCGATCAACTGGTTTTCTGCTATTTTTTTRAGACTTCCAYTTTATTGAACACGATTTTCTTACAGAACTTCTAAATAAGGTCAGGGCTTACCAGCTACAGTTTGGTGGTCTTCATCCTCCTCTGGTTCTGGGTCAGACTCTGGTTCCAACATGTAAAGACTGAATGGACAAGTTCCCTTGTTGACATATTTTAACTAAATTGTAATTCAAAAAGTTTCTGCTCAACTATAGTCGTAAAACTCTCTATCAAACTCGAATGAACCGTTGTGAAAGCTGGAGGGGGACAGCCTCAAAACGAGTTGACACCTCAGGAAAGGGGTGCAAGAGGGGAGGAATTCAGAACAAAGCATTGCAGTTCCACTTTATGTAGACCCCAAAGCTTTATGTGCACTTTAAAGCCTRTAAAATGGCCTTTTTAAAGCCCTGACCTCAACTGTTGCTGTGAAAATCCAAGAAACTAAAGAGCCAGCCTTGTGTGATTACTGTTTGTGATTTCCAGTTATATATACATCAAGTTCTTCTATACGTTGTCTGCATACAATACTAAATTTCTGTTTCACTTGGTGGGCTGTTTTAGTGACTAATCTGCTTGCCTAATGCCTGAAAACTTTGATTTTCCCCTTTTCTAGCCTATTGGGGTTGTTATTATGGAACACTGTGGGGTCACAGACATTCATACAGTGCTGAGCGGCCACAGTGTTTGCTCAGAATATATAAGGTTTTCCACTCGTTACCAGAACGAAGCTGTCGTCCTCGACCACAGGACCGGGCCGACACCATCCTCATTCCTCTCTCTGGTCAGCCAAAGTTTTCTCAGTCAACCAGATTCTGACCTCCAGCTTCTCTCAGAGGAAAGCTCAACACAAAGCTTTCAAAAAGAGCAATATATTTTGGCAATACTCATGCTGTAAGGACAGTAAACTGTAAAGGGGTGGTAGTAGTCAGCGTTACCTCTCAGATAATGTCAGTGTTTCTTGCTTTATTGCATTAGAAGAATAAGTTTTAAGTTTAGTTTACAACAGCAGAGACATCGTTTGTTTGTTCTTATTTTGTCGAGGCAAGCTATAAATCTAAAAATTGTGCAATAAAGGAAGAACTACAATACTAAAGCTCGGGGGAAAAAAGGCACAGCTACATTCTGGGTTTAGAAATATGAGCTTATATAAAACATCGTTTTTAGTTTGAGCAGTTTTATGGGTAATTTCATAGTTTTCCTCCCATGACCTCAACATTAAAGGACAGCTCAAAGATAATTAAGTGGAAAGAACTTGGCAGTCATGTGCGCTGATGCCATCTACGCTGCGGAGACATTACTGCGGGGGATTTCTCCTGCCAGACACAGATCCTTCAGATAGCAGCAGATTGAAAAAGAAAACCCAATCAGCAGGCCTCATTTGAATTTAAACCCTAATCAAATTTAGAATTCTTCATTCGTAGAAGTAAAAGCAGAAGTCTGTGACAGGATCTTATTTGTGGCCTTTGCTTCGCATCTGGCTGGAATCAGAGCAGACAAACAGCAAGTTGTGGTTAAAGTTGAAGCAAATATGAAACTTCAAACAATCCAACGACCTTTGTGCACACATTGGCTTAAATGAAGTCTTTTCATTCTATCCTAATACAAATATTTGTGTGAACTCTTATCATTGGTGCGCATCCAAGAATCAATCTTTAGTTAGTCCTGGAGTCTTTTCATAATAAACAGTTGTATTGCTTTATTCAAGTTGRATTTTAGTTTTGAGCAAATGAAAAGTCAAGTTTGYAGTGTTGAAATAATAGAAGTGCATGGGTTTATGTATTAGCAGCCATCYGACATTAAATATTTCCAATTTATTCCCTATTTTTCTTTGTGTTCTGTTCCACCACAGGCCACCTCCATCAGTAGACGGAGTATATATTTTCAAAAAGGTTTTCTCTTCTGAACTGTCCCAGAACCAGATGGTTTTGGGTGAGGAGGAAGCGTCTCGGATGCGGCCTTGTTGTTGACAGGCCTGTTGATTCTGTTTATTCTAACCTCATATCGCGAGCACCACTAATAGCAGCCCTGCATGTGAGCGGCATCTATATCGAGCCGTGCCAGCCAGGTTGAAGCTATTAATCAGCCAGTCAACTGTCCGTGCGTTGATTACAAGTGAGGTAATGGAAGCTGCGCTGCTGTTTTCTCACCACACTAACTGCTGCTGCTGCTACACTTTTAGCCCAGAAACGTCAGAGCATCGTTTAAAAAGTCTCTTGAAATGGTATCATTATCTCCTCAAAATGACCTAAATTAAGAGAGAGGAAAAAGTTCAAATTGGTGAAGGAAAAAGAAGGTTTGGTAGATTTCATTTTGTTACTGGCATCACAAGACAAAAAACACAAATTAWACGGTACAAAGCATACAATAACTTATTATTGCTTTTTTATATCAGGATTAGCCTGGTTAAAARCAGACCCTTGTCCTTTGCTTTGCTTCATAAGAGGGTCTGGACTCTCGGCTATAGAGAAGCGATTCTTGCTGGAGGCGTGGCCTCAGTGGAAGTTTAAAACGATTGGATCGGTTGG